TTCCTTTAAGTCTCAAGAGACGCTTGCGTTTATTGATTAATTAGGCTTTAACCGGCAACTCGATGCTCAGTACGTAAAAGTTCCTCCATAGCAAGTTCACCATCAAAATTTCGTCCTTATATCGTAATCACCACCATAATATATTGAAGCTCTGATTAATTAGGCTTCATCCGAAAACTCGGTTCTCAGTTCGTTTAGGAGATCAGGAAGGAGATCGTTTAGGAGAAGGTCAACACCACATCGTCCAGGCTTGAGCGGCTCCATCGGCGATAAGTTTACTAGGATTGGGAGAAACGTCGGACAGTAGCATTTGCTCCAAGAAACCGCTTGTATCCCTGCCTATAAATAGATTCTGGGGCAAGGAGGACACTGGAGTTGACAGGTTTAAATTCCTCATAATTGCCCTCACGACTCCGTTCCCATAATTCTTCAGCGACCTGAAATTTGCTTTGTCCGTCGGAAAATTACCGCAAAATGCACATGCGGGCCAGATGAGCGCATATTTCGCTTCCGGCGAACTTTAATAGGAACCTTGGTCGCAAAATCCGGTCTACCTCAATGAACGCCATCGCGTGCGCTCCCATGCCCCATCACCTCAGCCAAGGTCTTGTCGGTTGAAGGCCAACCGCTGACGGTGACAAAACGTGGGAACGACATCTTTAATATGTTTATGTGTCTGACTTTGTGCGGTAACTGGTAGATGAAATAGGTCGTTGATGACCCAGGTACGCCACCGTAACCGGGGATTCAATGTAATCGGGTGAAGGGGGTCGTGGTGAAGAAGGTGAAGGGTTTTACTTGACTGGACAATGTACCACTTTTTCTGAGGAGTTATATTCGAGCCTCTGCTACGAGGAATGTCCGAAACTGAATAAGTGGATGAATGACTCCAACAGTCTGAGGGAGGCACTCTGTTATCTGATGAAATGGCGATGGAGTGCCTCCCATAGAGATTGCTGGAGTTGGGGGAAACTTTGGATCCAAAGCCAGAGCTGATGCAGAGATGAAAATGGTTCAAATAAGTTGAAATATGGATCGAAGTCTGTGCATTTTCGATCTACCTGGCTGACTTATAATTCACGTACTAGTCGATAACGTTCAAAATGATTCACAAGAATGCTGGGTTGTGAACAAAACTTAAAGCGAGAGGTGCGGGTTCTAGTCCCGCCTGGGGCGAAAGTTTTGTTCACAACCCAGCATTCTTGTGAAACATTCGCAAGGCGAACTGCGGCCAAAAACAGCAGTTAACAAACAAAAACAAGTCAAAATGAATTTTTTGGTCCAATTAAGAAGAAATTGAAGGCCATAATATCAACAGCAAAATGTCCAATTCGGAGGAATTGGACGAGTTGTCGTGTTCACCTTAGTATAAAAGTGTTACTTTCAGCTCACAAGATCACTTGTCGTAATGATGTCGCTTGGATGTTCGAGCAATGGGATGGCGATAATGATGGACTCCTTTCCAAGGTGAGAGAATCAGGACATATTAGTTCAACTGATGAAGAACGAAGGAGTGAGGCTTCAGATACCATAAGTCGCCTTTGGAATGCGCCATGCACTTGACTTACATTAAATACCGAATTGGCAAAACTTTGAAAGAGGGCGAGGCCGAAGTACCAAACAATGATTTTTTGCCGTGAAAATGGATGTTAATGGTCAATCAACCCTTGTACAAAGCACCCAATCACCTCTTGTCGGAGACTGATCCACGGGGGTCGTCGACGCGGTGGGGAAACCGCTTGCCACTGCTCTATCGTTCACAAGTAAATGAACAAGTAAGACGCAGTTAGTGTTATTCCGGGTTCACTATTCATTCCACAGCTCTTTTTCTCATATGAACAGGAATTGGGAGGGAGACCTACGGTTCTATTCACATACATAGGTTGTTATTTAAGAGGCGGAGCAATTCGACGCGAGCTGCTGCGGCGCGGTCTTACCCACTAGAACTTCTCGCCACTCTGCCCACATGTTCCTGAACCTCCACGATTTTGTTTTCATGAATCTCCCCAGAAAACGAAGAGGCAATGCTGCAATTAATGCTTATGGTTTGCCATAAAGACGTTGTTAGGTGAATAATCTAAGAGATGACGTAATGACATTTTAGCAGAGGCTGTGACAAAAACATAAAACTACTCATGCGAAGGTGAATAATGCTGGCAAAATTTTGATGAAAATAAGCGGACTAGTGAAAACACGAGATGAGACGCTATAGCAAAAGGAAAGCTGTGAAGAAATTCCAAGGTATATGCTCGATAACGGGGGGGGGAGGGGAGCGGGGGGTGGAAGGGCGTTCTGAGCCTACTACGCAGGTCTTTAGTGACATCTTCGCTTGCACGTTGCGAAATTGGGACAGTCTTTTTGGTTAGGAACCTATCCAACATGCTCAATTGGCAGACACACGACACGTGGAAAGGCAAA